CGAGATGAATGTTATTAAACATGATGCATCTATAGTAATATTTATATACATTTAACTTTGTTTTTATGAACATTATGAACCTACTATAGAGTGAATGTAAATACATATGATGTATATTTAGTTTAGTGTTTATGAACATTAATGTTTATGTAACTATGTTTATGGAGATATAGAAAAAGTATTATGAGTATAGCACACGATGAATATTACTAAACATGATGCATCCATAGTAGTATACTGTCTATGTATATTAAAATTTATTTTTATGAACATATAAAATAAATATTAAGAATTGAACATACTATAGATGAATGAAAATGCATATAATGTATATTTAGTTTAATGTTTACGTACACTAAGGTTTGATTTATGGATATATAGAACAAATATTATGAACATAGTCTATGATAATGTTATTAAATATGATGTACTAATTGACATTGACATTTGATATAAAACGATGTCATTTCGGACCAGGATCCACAATGGAAACAACGACAAATTATGCTATGGACCCGTGTCCACCATGCACATGGTTGACACGTTATACATTCATAATTTCTATACTGTAGATTCATAATTTCTAAATTGTAGATTCATAAAATTTATAATGTAGATGCATAATTTCTATACTGCACATTCATAATTTATGTACTGTAGATTCATAATTTCTGTAATATAGATTCATAATTTCTAAACTGTATAGTTATCAAATTATGAACACATAGTTATCAAATTATGAATCTACAGTACAGAAATTATGAATGTGCAGTATAGAAATTATGAATCTACATTATAAATTTTATGAATCTACAGTATAAAAATTATGAATCTACAGTATAGAAATTATGAATCTACAATACAGAAATTATGAATGTGCAGCATAGAAATAATGAATCTACAGTATAGAAATTATGAATGTGCAGTATAGAAATTATGAATCTACATTATAAATTTTATGAATCTACTGTATAGAAAATATGAATCTACAGTATAGAAATTATGAATCTACAATATAGAAATTATGAATGTACAGCGTGTCCACCATGCACATGGTGGACACGGGTCCAGGGCATAACGCTCCGGAAGCAACACACATGGCTTGTATTTACTAAAGAAATATACTATCTTGGAAACCTTAAACAATACACATAGCCTGCACTTACTAATAGAGCAAATTACACTTTTGGTCCTATGACTATAGGGGGCGTGTTAATTTTGATCCGTGACTTTTAAAACTAACAATTTAGTCTTTTAACTATGCTTTTTTTAGCAGATTTGGTCCTCCCAGCCAAATCACTGGTGGAAATTGGCCGGAAAAATTTAAACATTTTTAAATTTTTTATTCATGAGGGTAAAATGGTCTTTTTACGTTAAAAATGGAAAGTTATCTACCGCCGGCAAGATGGAGCTTGACGTCGACAACGCGGCAGAAGATGTGAGGAGGGAGGTTATACGCGACGGCAAGGTGCTCCAAGTGGCTCTGCGCCAGATACACGACAGCGCTGCCTTTCTTCGGCAACGAAATCAACGGCCCCGCACAGGCGTACCAGAGCTCCATACACAACAACCCCAGGGAAGAAAACTCCGTCAAATCCGAATTATCCGGCGATGTTGCCGCCGTTTCTTCCTCGTCGACGTTGTCATTGTTCATGGTGTTCAGATCAATTAATCCGCTCATCATCATCATCATCCTCTCTCTAAACCCTACGATTCACGGTGTTCAGATCGACGTGGTCCTACGCTGCAAGATACCGCCGCCGCCGCTTAATCTCTTGTAGTGGGCTCGATGGTACGGTGGCTCTCGAAGGTGAACGTGAAGAAGAAGAAGCAGATAACTTTTCAATTTTTTTAAATGTAAAAAGACCATTTTGTACTCGTGATTAAAAAATCTAAAAAGGTTTAAATTTTTCCGGCCAATTTCCATTGGTGATTTGACCGGGAGGACCAAATCTGCTAAAAAAAACATAGTTAAAGGACTAAATTGTTAGTTTTAAAAGTCACGTACCGAAATTAACACGTCCCCTATAGTCATAGGACCAAAAGTGTAATTTGCTCCTTACTAATATTACATTATATTTAGTGTAATAGTTTAGTATATGCAACTTCTAATACTATTGGGCAACCAAATACATTATTTGTTTTGCTAACTACATTTAATTAAAATTTTCAAATTCAAAATTATTGTCTAGCAAATTTACTTTGCACTCTAGCTTTTAGATGTCCCTTAGCTTGCTTAAAAATACCCACAAATTAGGTTCAGTCTTTGTGATTTTTTTTTCTTTTTGTATAGTTCTCTTTGTATGCCCATGGTATTTTTGTAGTTTGAGAAGTGATGGGCATATGGTCCTTTCTTTTCTTTATTTATTTATTTTTTAAATTTTATCTCAATACTAAGTCATTATAAAGCAAATTTTGATATTTGGTACTATACATACTTTATTATAATAAGATATTGTTAGAATATTATATAATATTTTGAGTATTTATTTACATTATTTAAGTTTGATAAATAATATAATTATTGAATATATGTTACTATCCATGCATCGCACGGGTGCTATACTAGTCTGAAATAACAACAAAGGTGTCATCACATTATGTTAGTTGGCAAATTTCATATTTAAAAACTCACTTAAAATTTTAAAATGGTTTTAAATTTTTAGGGAAAAATTGTCAAATAGCTACTTGAACTTTACTTAAAAAGTTAATTAGGCCTTTAAACTTTTTAAGATTAAAATTAAACCCATCAATCTCTCATTTTGGTGCAATGAAGTCTAAAAACTGATTAGTGATATGTTATCACAAGTCACTAGACACTAGGGTTTCGGTCAATATTCTTACCAATTCAAGCGATATTTCTACTAACTTCGACAACATTTTCGACAATAAAATGATCGATCACCGAGAATGGTCGTCGGTCGCCTTTGAATCATTGGCAGGGCCGACCCTAGGCAAGGGCAGGCTAGGCCCTTGCGCAGAGCCCATGCTCGGAGGGGACTAAACTCATAACAGAATACACATAATCTAACATAATACATAATACACATAAACTCATAACATAATACACATAAACTCATAACAGAATACACATATCTAACATAATACATGATACACATAAACTCATAACATAATACACAAACTCTTAATAGAATACACATAAACTCATAATAGAATACACATAATCTAACATAATACATAATACACATAAACTCTTAACATAATACACATTAAATCAAGGAATAAGGGTCAAATATACCATTCAACTGCGCACCAAATTGCAATTAGGCCATCGAACTCAAAAAGAATGCAATTGAGTCCCTGAACAACGCAAATGCATGCAATTCAATCCAAATTGACTTGTTTACCTGGAAAGGTGGTTACCGAATTTTTTAAAATATTTTTTAAATAATTATAAATAAAAATTTAAATTTAAATTTATTAAAAAAAAAATCCATTCGTCTCCGGCGGAGACGAAGGGGTGGCTTCGTCTTGGGCCGTCTACCCGGCCATGGAGACGGCCTGAGACGAAGCCACCTTCGTCTCAGGCCGTTTTCATGGCTAGGGAGATGGCATGAGAGTTGCCTGCCACTTCGTCTCCGGTGGAGACGAAGTGGTGACTTCGTCTTGGGCCGTCTCCCCAGCCATGGAGATGGCCTAAGACGAAGCCACCTTCGTCTCAGGCCGTCTCCATGGCCGGGAAGACGGCCTGAGAGTTGCCTGACACTTCGTCTCCGGCGGAGACGAAGTGGCGGCTTCGTCTTGGGCCGTTTCCCCGGCCACGCATGGAGACGGCCTGAGACGAAGCCACTTTCGTCTCAGGTCGTTTCCTTGGCCAGGGAGACGGCCTGAGACGAAGATCCCTTCGTCTCCGGCGGAGCCGACAGTAGTTTTTTTTTTAGTTTTTAATTTTTTATTTAAAATTATTAAAAAATATTTTTTAAAAAAATTCGGTAACCGTCTCTCCAGGTAAACAGGTTATTTTTGGATTGAATGGCATAAGATTGCGTTGTTTAGGGACCGAATTGAATTCTTTTTAGTTCGATGGCCTAATTGCAATTGAGTGCGCAGTTGAGTGGCCTATTTGACCCTTATTCCTAAAATCTAAACAATAAAAACGACGTCGTTTTGGTTAGTGCGCACAATGCATTTGTGAGATTTATTTATCATTTTGAAATCTATTTATAATTGAGTAATTTAATAATTATATTTATAACTAGTGTTATCTTGTGAACTTTTATAATGAGTTATGAATTGTAAAAATTATTTAACTTGATTAATTAATTTATATGAAATATATTTTAAGATTTAGTTATTAATAAAAACTAGTATTTGTCCCGTGCGATGCACGGAAAATATGTTATAAAAATATACCCTATATAAGGTTTATTCATATATAAAATTTTTGTTATTTAATAATTATCACCCGCGCGATGTACGGGAAAAAAATTATGTTATTATAAATATTAATAAAAAAATAGAAAAAATAAAAATATTTTAAATTGTTTAAAATAAAAATATTTTTGAGCTTCCATTGGTCAGGTATTTATTATTTTTATAGAATACAAAATTACAATTAAAATTAAAATTAAAATTTTGTATGGTTGGTATAATTTCTAATTATGTACATATTCAAATAAACTTATAGAGAGAATTTACATAATTACATTGATTTATTCTTAATTGTATTTCATCTATATTATAATTTTCACAATACGAATAATAACTAAGATAATTACATTTAGAAAGTAAATTTCAAATTTTGTATGAGTAAATTTAAACTCTAATTGAACACATTTTTTATATGATTATATAATATATTCTTTATGCACATGTCATTCCATAAACCCAAATGTCATTCTATAAATCCAAGTCCACTTTTTGTGGAGATAATTCAAATGTATTTTTTTCTTTTAAAAGTCCTAAGTTTAGAAATTCAAAAAAACATTAAAGACTCATACGATATATACTTTTTTTTGAAAAATATATGTGGTGTTTCATTAGAAATAAGCTGAAATAATGTCTGGTGGGTGAAGATCCCAGTATATAGCAGCAGGTTGCTGATAAGCCGTAGTAGCTAATGCATGAGCTAAATAATTGTCTAGTCTAGAAATAAATTTAAATGAACAAGACTGAAATAAAGTGGTGGTTTGCCTACAAATGTCAATGGCATAGCCAACGTAAGAACGGAACGCAGCGGATGGTGTAGTAAGATAGTGTTGAAGTGTCAAACAATCTGTGTATACCTCGATATTCTGTTCTCCCCAATCCTTTAACCATGATAAAACTTCCTTGCATGATAATGCCTCGGCCATAAGCGGTGAGAAACAATTTGGAAGTGGTGCAGTGTAGGCCGAGATGTAGCCTCCATTCGCATCGAGCAGGATTGCCCCAACAGTAGCCATGCCTGTTTCGTGCAGATAGCCAGCGTCGACTCGACACCTCCTTAGCGCCGGCACAACCTGTTCGGCAGCATGACCAACGTCTCCTGCAAATTGTTCGGCATGGTCTTCTTCCCCCTCTTGGGCCGGTGGTGTTGCAGCTGTTGGAGGAGCAGATTGGGCAGCAGCAATCAGATGGGTCTGGCTCCATGCATGTTTGGCGGCGGTAGCGGCTTTGAGTAACGAAATTGGTCGTGGTAGGCATACCTCCCAAATCGCCCCATTTCGTGCTCTCCAAATATTGTATAGAATCGATGCTACATATAATATCCCATCAGAATCCGAAACATTTAGAAGTTCACCAAACCAAACATGAAAAATATTTGTGACAATATTGGGGATCGTAAGGTTAGATTGTTCCCAAATGTTCTTTGCAAATTCACACAACACTAATGCATGCATTGTATCCTCTTGTGATATCCCACACATGGCACAATATGGATCCACATCCACTCTCCTTATAAGCAAATTATTAGTGGTAGGCAATATATCACAAATGGCTCTCCAAAGAAACATTCTCCATTTTGGGGGATTTTGAGCTTCCATAGGGTCAACCATTTGGTAAAAGTTCCACTATTATTCTCATAATTTCCCACTATTAGGCTGTACCCATTTTTCACAGGATATATTCCTCTCGGATCCCCATGCCAGTACCATGTATCATTATAATCCGGGGAAACATGTATTCTCATAATTCTTGTCACATCAGTAGGTTGAAATAAATCTGTTAGAATAGAATGATCTCATGTACCAGTTTGTTGATCAATCAATCCCACCACTTTGGCCCCCTGTAACTGTATTGGCATTTCTGTGTGTACCATGGGGTCCTGCTCATCCTGCAACCAGGGGTGAGTCCATATGAGTGTAAACTCCCCATTTCCAATTCTACGTCTTACCCCACTACAAATTATACTCTTAGCTGCCATAATACTCCGCCAACAAAAACTGAGATTATTCCCTACCTGTGCATAAAAAAAAAAAAGTCCTCTGGGCAAAATAGCGGGCTTTATAGACACGAGCCACTAGGGATTCAGGTTTAGTAAGCATTCGCCAAGCCTGTTTCCCCAACATAGCTAGATTAAAAACACGTAAATCTTTAAAACCCAGGCCTCCATACTTTTTAGGAATACACAACTTATCACATGCCTTCCAATGTATTCGTCTGTCAGTGCCAGAGTCCCACCAGTATCTATTCATAGTTCTCTCAATTGACGTGCATACTGACATTGGCAATAGGAAGACACTCATTGAAAAGGTAGGCATAGATTGTGCTACACTTTTCAAAAGGATCTCCTTTCCTGCTTGTGACAGCAATCTCTTATTCCAAGATCCAATCCTTTGGCGAATCTTATCCTCAATATATGCGAAAGCTGCCTTCTTGTTCCTTCCAACAAAAGAAGGAAGTCCCAAATATTTGCCAAAATTTGGAGCCTGCCCCACTCCCAAAACCTGAGCCACACTTTCCCTGTCTGTATAACTCGTATTTCTGCTATAACATATGCTTGATTTGTGGTAGTTAACCACTTGCCTAGATAAATTCTCATAAAACGACATGCACCTCTTTATCTCACTTGCCTCTTCCACATTAGCCTTAAAAAATAAAAGACTATCATCCGCAAAGAATAAATGAGAGATTGGGGGAGCACTTGCTACTCTGCATCCATGAATTGACCCCACACTGTGTGCCTGTTGCAATAATAAGGAAAGCCCCTCTGCACAAATAATAAATAGATATGGAGACAACGGATCTCCCTGCCTTAGACCACGTGTGGGTACAATAGGGTTACTTCGAGAGCCATTCACCAGAATATTGTAAGAAACTGTGGTGACACATTTCATAATCAAATCTACCTACCTACTATGGAATCCCAGCGCCAACATCATGTTATGAAGAAAAGACTATTCCATACGGTCATACGCTTTTGCCATATCCAGTTTAAGAGCACCCCATCCCCTCAATCCACACAGTTTCCTGTTCAAAAAATGCCCGACTTCCGCATCTAACAAAATATTATCAGTTATCAATCTATCCGGGATAAAAGCGCTCTGTGATTCCGATATTATCTCCTCCATTAAAGGCTTCATTCTATTAGATATTATTTTAGCCATAATTCTGTAAACCACATTACTAAGGGCTATAGGGCACAAATCAGTTACCAACTCTAGGGTATTCTTCTTAGGGATCAAAACAACATCTGTATCATTCAATCCATGCGGTAAATCACAAGATTCAAGGCAATCAACCACAAAATTCGCTACATCCCCCCTACCACATCCCAAAAATGCTGATAAAAACCTGAATTCATTCCATCCGGGCATGGTGCTTTATCAGGATACATAGCAAACAATGCATTCTTAACTTCCTCAGGGGCAAAAGGTGGTAATAATTGTTAGTACTGTACTATGTATATATATTTATATATTATATACTTAATATATACATTACGTACTTAATATATATATTAGCTACTTAATATATATATATTACGTATGTTTTATATATATATATATATATATATATATATATATATATATATATATATATATATATATATATATATATATATATATGTATAAATATATATACACATTAATTAGTATTTAGTTGTTGGCATAAAATCAAACAAAGGTGTGGTCATGAATGAAAGTAGGAAATGGATGTATACATGTGTACGTGTGCTGTGCTTTATGGAAAAATGAGATTGCAAAAATGTGGTTGTGCAAACATTGTGGACATTGGAGTGGTGAACATGTGTGTGAGTAATGTGCATGGAATTAGGAAAGTGGTGGATTAGTTTATTACATGCAGCGTGAATCAAGGAAAGACATTACTATAAATTGGGAACATTGTAATGAAGAAGATCGAAGTTTCCAAAAACATAAAAAGACAATACAAATTTCGAAGGTGCTACAATTGATTACTCAGAAGACACTACAAGGAAACTTCAGACGGGAAAGGATTAGTGTACTATCTGGAGAATTTAGCTCCACGTTATTCAGTACAAGTTGAGTTAAAATCCAGGTTGGTTACAGTTTGTTTAATTGGTAGAATTAGTTCAAACTGTATTGTAAACTTTTTCATAGAGTTGTTTTACGAGATTAATGTTTAAATAGGTGGTAGACCTAGTTTTGTAATTCATTGAACCTGTAATTGTAAAAACCGCGGGTTGATCTTGAGTGAAAAAGTTTTGGGCGTGGCCCCGCAGATTAGGAGGTGTTCTCTAACTGCATTAAAAAATTCAGCTGTGTACTTATTTTGGCGCGTCATTTATTTTTACATATTGTGATACATATCTGCATTACATATTTTCAATAATGATTCATTATGTGTATGTGATACCCGTGGTACAATTCCCTCAAAGAAAGACTCCCCAGATCCCGGATTTCCAGAGCAGAAAATATTATTGAAATAATCCAAAATAGTATTTTTCATAGGCTCCCCTTCCACCCAATCCCCATTGTCATTCCTTATTTTAGATATAGTATTCTTTTTCTTACGATGAGAGGCATACCTGTGAAAGAATTTCGTATTGGCATCGGCCTCCTTGAGCCAGTGATGTTTTGCTCTCTGTCTCCAGTAGGCATCCTCCTAGGCCTCAGTGCAGCTTAGTATTATTTGAGCAATGAGAATAGAAGCATATTTGTTGAGTGAAATGTATAGAAATTGCTATGTTGCAAACCGAGCATGATGATATATTCTTGAATACTTCATGTTAGTTTATACATGATGTAGAAGCATGTTATAGAGCATTTTGGCATTTCAAATGAGTCATATTTCAAAAATGCATAAGGGGCCAACGTGAGCCCAAGAATACTTTCAAAAACCATAAGCATGTGGTATATCATTCTTTGATGTATTGAGAAGTAGTAGAATTGTTGCATGCATGAGATTGATGCATGAGAGATATATCTATGTATTATCTATATCAGTGAGGTTTTGGAGGATACCGTTTGGACTATGTTCCTTTTGGGAGATTTTTATGGACATTGCGGTCCCAGTATATGTAACGCGGCGTATTCCCACGTTACGAGGTTGGAAACTTCCCGCCAGGCTTGAACCATGAGATTGGTTCCGTAGACGGTAGGATATATTGGGTCGGAATTATGTCGTTCCCGATAGGGTAAGTCACACTTCTATGAAACCCTAAGCCGTCTACGAGTATAAGAGAAAGAAAGAGAGTCAAAAGAGACTCAAGAAAGAGAGTCAACAGAGACTCAAGTATGAGAGTCAATAAAGACTCGAGAGAAAGAAAGAGAGTCAAGAGAGACTCGAGAAAGTAACAAAGAAACCTCCACAGAAAGTACTCTAATTTATAAATGAGTGTATGATTATATTATTGCACTAGATTGCATAAGAGTATGATTACATTGTTGCACTAGATTGCATAAGAGTATGATTATATTATGAGTTAATTCCAGCAAAGGTCCTCTGACTATAGTGATTTTCCACATTTGGTCCTCGTCTTTTAATTTGGACGAATTAAACCCTTGACTATCATAATCTTTCCATCATTGGTCCTTCCGTTAACTCACTGTTATTTTGCCGTTAAATTAAAGGGTAAAATGGTCCTTACATATATTGAGTGTCTTCTTCCTCACTGTTGGTCCAAATCTGTTGCACTGTTCTCCCTTTTCTTTGCCTTTACCAGAAGCTCCTTCCAAAGGCAAAATGGCACCAGAAATGTATATCTACCTTCCCACATCACTAGATTGGAGGGATCAATTTTGACAATAATTTTAAAAGATGTGAAAGTAAATATTAAAAAAATAATAGTGAGGGAACAAATGTATATCTCATAAAAACTCTTTTTTAGGCAAGTACCGAAAGTTGCCATCTCCGATCAGTACTATGTTCCATTTCTTCTTACCAATCTCTATATATTCTCTGTACACTCCCTCCTTGACATATATGGCGTAGCGGCGGGAGCTGAATTCAGGGGCGACGCAGATGGCGTGTTTGATGGAGGTGAAATTCCCGGTGCCGTCAAGCGCCACCACAGCATCCGCCACCACCACATTGGACTGTAGAATTCTCTGGTCACGAGATTTTAGCCAGGAAGGGAATTCTGCTCTAAGCTTCCTGCCTTGAAACTTGGGGCCGGGAATGGGGCGTACCATGGCTAGAACGTTGCGGATGGAGGAAGCTATCTGGTTTAGGCTTCCGGCGACCAAATTCTTGATCAGACCATCGGTGTCGTCGAAGCCTTCAATGCAGGTGTCTTGATTGATCATCGCCCCGCTCAACCACGCCCTTAAATCATCACTCAGATTGCTCGTGTTATTGTTCCTTTTACCTGTGAACAATGCAATAAATAAATTTAAATGAAATTGATCCAACGTAACTTTTCAATTATCTAGACAACTACATCTAATCTAATTAATATTAAATTCTAAGAAACGGTAGATTGAAAAACATATATACCATTATGATTCTGAGATGCAGAGAGGGTGGAGGAGAGTTCATCAGCAGAGAGGTCAAGCAAATCAAGGCAGTTGGAGACGGCATTAGAAGCCTAAAATCTCCAAAAACATTGCCTACTTTTGCCACCACAGGCGTG